GCTGCTGGAGTTGCCGACGGGAGCATCCTGAGGAGAGGAGGATCCACACGGGGATTTCTGCGCGCCATCGCAGCTCGTCGTGCTGCTCGACCTCATAGTGCGCGGTGGAAACCGGCGTTCATGGTTGTGCACAAGCCTGACCGCCCGAGGATCTCCTCCTCCACTACTATACCAGTACACCATGAACCCAGATATCGTGGTGCTCCTACAAGAAACCTGTTGCTGCTCATGGCGCCCTTACGATGGACGGGACGCCATCGGCCAACGAGGCCCTACATAGCGGGCTTAGCACCAAGAAGGGGTAGTGGCGTGGAGCTCCACATGCGGTCGGAGCGGAGCGGGGGTCTGCTAGCGAGAGTAGTAGTCGAGCAGGGCATGGGGATTTGAGAGGGGATGTCGGCGAGTATTGGAGAGGAGAAGTCACCGGCGAAGTCGTGGTGCACGGCAAGGTTGCCCGAGGTCGCTGACTTGCCAGGTCGACATGACGGGAGTTCACGCGAACGGAGCCCTTTTTCCTCCCTCTCTACAGTGGCTGAGTATATTTAAGAGCGGGGGAGGTGTTGGAGAAAAAAATTAACAAACCAAAACGTTTTGAGGAATCGGCTAGGTGGAGTTTAAATTAGTAAGACGAAATTTTTACTCCACTAAATGATTATAAGTCATCATCTAGAGATGGCCTTACATCGTGAAAAGATAAGTAACTTTATATGCAACTTGTGGTTGGAATAGTCATAGCCAATGAATAAAAGATACTCACTTAGCTTGCTAGCTACTGCATGGCCCATGGATCCCTCGTGCCATTATTAGTATGTCCTTGGAATGAGGACAACTAGTACTACTGAGTGGAGAATTAAGTTAAGTTACCTGCACGAAGGACCCATTAGGTGCTTTGATCCTCATCATATTCTTGTTTCGCACCAGCTTAAACGTCTCCGATGGACCCGGCATGGAGGCCGTGGCCACCACATTAACGCCAACGACGGTCACAGACTGGTTGCTGAACACTTTGAGGTTGAAGGTGTTCTGGTCGATCCGCCACAGCTTGAAGGTCTCTCAGCCGGAGGCCGAGGCCCGGTTGGCGACCAGTGCCGCCCCGCCGCCATTCTCGGCGGCCACGAACGTGTTCTCCGTCACGGACCTGAGTTGCAGCTGCGTGCCATCCTGCTTCATCGATCCAGACCGACATAAATCAAGCAAGAGTTGATGAACCTGAAATGACAACCAGACGAAGGAAACATCTTTGTGAATTCTTTTCTTACCAGGAGGTCTTTGTTGGGGATGTCGTCGAAGAGGGAGAGTAGATCCTTGACGATGGTCACCACAAACACGGAGGGATCGTCGTCACCCCATGTCGTCGTGCTCTCGCTGAAGTCGGCCGTTATCGAGCCATCTTTGTTTGCCTGTCGTGCCAGCAATGAAGATGTGTAACATTGATGACTCTTAGTAGGTTTTTCTCATGGAAGATAACCTTCAATGCAACTTGCGGTTGTAATTGTCATAGTCATTGAAAGAGTAGGAAACTTTGCCACAGTTCGGTCGTGCAATGAATGAAGAGGTCAACTAGTACTAATGAGTGGAGTATTAAGTTAATTTACCTGCAAGAGGGATCCATTGGGTGCTCTGATCCTCATCCTATTCTTGTCAATGTTGTTGCGCACCAGCTGGAACGTCTCCGACTGACCCGGCGTGGAGGCCGTGGCCACGACATTAACGCCGGCGAGGGTCACGAACTGGTTGCTAAACACCTTGAGGTTGAAGTTGTTTTGGTTGATCGGATGGAGCTTAAAGGTCTCCCAGCCTGAGGCCGAGGAGCGGTTGGCAAATAGCGCCGCCCCACCGCCGTCCTCGGCGGCTACGAACGCGTTTTGCGTCACGGACTTGAGTTGCAGCTGCGTGTCATCCTGCTTCATCGATCGACCCGCATAAATCAGGCAAGAGGAAATTTGTGTGGCGTTGCACGCAGCAGACAAGGGAAACAAGTAGGGTTAATCGTTACCATGAGGTTGTTGTTTGGGATGCCGCCGAAGAGGGACCGCAGAATCCAGCCATCGGTGATGATGGTCACCACAAACACAGAGGAGTCGTCATCGCCCCATGCCGTGCTCTCGCCGAAGTCCGCCGTTACCGTACCATCTTTGTTTGCCTGCCATGCCAGCAATGGAAGATATGTAATTTTGATGAATCTTAGTAGGGTTTTTCTTTCATGAAAGATAGCCTTCTATGCAACTTTTGGTTGTAATTGTCATTGTTAATGAGGGAGTTGGTAACTTTGCCATTGATCCGTCGAGCCATCAATGAAGAGGTCAACTACTAGTACTAAGTGGAGTATTAAGTTACGTTACCTGCAAGAACGACCCATTGGGTGCTCTGATCCTCATTCTATCCTTGTCAGCGTCGTTGCGCACCAGCTGGAACGTCTCCGACTCCCCCGGTGTGGAGGCTGTGGCCCCCACATTAACGCCGGCAACGGTCATGAACTGGTTGCTGAACACCTTGAAGTTGAACGTGTTCTTGTCGATCCTCCAAAGCTTGAAGGTCTCCCAGCTGGAGGCCGAGGCCCGGTTGGCAACAAGTGTCGCCCCACCGCCATTCTCGGCGGCCACGAACGCGTTCTGCGTCACGGACCTGAACTGCAGTTGTGTGCCATCCTGCTCCATTGATCCAGACCAACATAAATTAAGCAAGAGTTGATGAACATGACATGACTACCAGACGAAGGAAACATCTTGGTGAATTATTTTCTTACCAGGAGGTCTTTGTTGGGTATGTTGTCGAAGAGGGAGGGCAGCTCCTTGAAGATGGTCACCACAAACACGGAGGGGTCGTCATCGCCCCATGTCGTCGCCCTCTCACGGAAGTCTGCCATCACCGAACCATCTTTGTTTGCCTATCGTGCCAGCAGTGAATATATGTAACATTGATGACTCTTGGAAGGTTTTTTTTTCATGAAAGATAACCTTCAATGCAACTCGCAGTTGTAACAGTCATTGTCAATGAAAGAGTAGACAACTTTGCCACTTATCCATGGTGCAATGAATGAAGAGGTCAACTAGTACTACTGGGTGGAGTATTAAGTTAATTTACCTGTAAGAGGGACCCATTGGGTGCTCTGATCCTCATCCTATTCTGGTCAGCATCGTTGCGCACCAGCTGGAACGACTGAACTGGTGTGGAGGCCGTGGCCACGACATTAACGGCGACGACGGTGACGAACTGGTTGCTAAAAACCTTGGAAGTTGAAGGTGTTCTGGTTGATCCGATAGAGCTTGAAGGTCTCCCAGCCTGAGGCCGAGGGACGGTTGGCGACCAGCGCCGCCCCGCCGCCATTCTCGGCAGCCACGAACGCGTTCTGCGTCACGGACTTGAACTGCAGCTGCGTGCCATCCTGCTCCATGGATGGACCGGAATAAATCAAGATAATGAGAATGGCATTCCACCCAAACGAGCGAAACAGCTAGGTGATCGAATTCATTACCAGGAGATCTTTGTTGGGGAGACCATCGAAGAGGGAGGGCAGCATCCAGCCCTCGGTGACCAGCCAGTTTCCGAGGTTCACCGACCGGATGGGGGGACGAGGAGAAGCCGGGTTCGCCATTTTCGCTACTACAGCAGTTTCTCTTTGATGTGGTCTTCTTGCTAGTCTGGTCGGTCTCGCTTAAGTAGGAGATGTTTAAGTGGGTGGGAGAACTTCCATGTGGGCGCAAGTTGGGCTGCTAAACTGTCAGAAGAGGCCACTTGGTTTATACAAGTGTGAACTACTCAACTATATGCGTGAACCGCTCGAGCACTCCAACTATATGCCTGCTGGCTTGTCCCATTTTTCCGATGGGTCTGCCTTACCCGGCGCCGTACGCGTCTGCTCTACTACTCCGCTCGCCAGAAAATTCTACTCCACTCCGACTATAATATGAGTTATTCATTTCCATCGAAATTTAAAACGGATTGGAGGAAGTCAATCATTTCTGCAGTTGACATCCGTATGAGCCACTATAGCCAATTATTCGTTCGTCCCCACCCTATCAAAATGTCAATTGTCAAGTAAGATGACAAATTGGATATGTATTGTAATTTATCTCCTATATTCATTTGTATTTTTAAGATACTAATTACCTATTGTTAGTTTCCCAGGTAGTATCAGTTTTCTTCAATCGCCAATGTATATGTGGAGAGTTGTTTCTCGGCGATGAAAATAGAGAAGACACTGTGGCCGCATCATTTTCTTCTTACAGTTAAGATTTTTATATTCAATAGCTCTATAGACTAATAGTTGTGGGATCTGCTTTTTTTCTCTTTTTTTTGCCTCCTTTGATTTTTGTAAAGCCGACACGTGTCCTTTCGGGGTGCTCTATCGGATCCGCATAGGCCTACTTTGAATCTCGCGTTGGGTCGGCTTTGGATCCGCGAGCACCGAGTCGGGTCGGGTGTGGGTCGGCGGATGATCTAGCGAGGTGATCCATGGGCTATGTCGTCATCCCATTTTCGCGTGACGTTGTCCGGTTGGTGTCGTGTCGTGCAAGCTGCTAGTTTTCGAGCGTCATGGGTTTTCGTGCTTCTTGTGTGTGCGTGTGTTCGTTTGCATGACCGTTTACCCGGTTTATTCGTTGACGCATCCCGACGTGTGGCACGTGTATCCGTCTTCGCACTTTACATGAGTGTGTGTTATCTGGTTGTCGTTGCATACCTGGTTCTAGTTGGGCTTTCCCTCGCTGGGCCTCACTTTCTGTTATTCTTGTTCGTCCTGTGAGGTTTTCTCCGTCGTTCCGATGTTCCGCTTTTTTTCGCGTTTTGTTCATACTCGTTTGCTTGTTTTCTTGTTTTTCTGAACATGGTGCGTCCTCCTGCACGTGCTACTGTTCGGCATGTTCGGCTATCACGTTTGCATGGGCGTGGTTTTGTTGGTTTTGTGGCTGGTTTCGGTTTCAATTCGAAATAGAGAATGAACCTCCAGCCTCTACATCAAAATGATGCACGCATGCAGTTTTTTAATTGTAATAAAGAAAACCACCAATGTCTTACAAAGAGATGCATCGATCGACCGGAAGCCACCGTCTAGGCGATAACTCGCTACACCTACAAGCCTTATGAAGGGGGTGGACTAATCACAGCCACATGCCTGACCTCATGCACCTATGCGCAACATATAAATCCAGAGCCCACAACTAGGCCGCCCAATAGCGAGCCAGGATCACAAACCGCTGTCGCCGTCTTGTGCGAACCCATCTTCAGGATAGATCAACCCAAACACCTTGTCAGGCCTGGTGTCGACGCGCCAAGACGCGAGACAGCACAACCAATCTGCGCACGTCCATCATCACGCGTCCAACGCCGAGACACTGTTGCTCCGTGCCGCAAAGACCCGTCATTGTCGACGCGGTAGATGTCACGCCACGCCAGTTCCTTGCCCTCCCAGCCAGCCCTGCTCCAAAACGATGCCCTCAGGAGGGAGAACGGCGCATAACGTCGTCATCGTTCGATCCGGTAGACCCAAATCTAGAGTCTCCCCTCGAGCAGTCCAGGCGAAGGGGCGAGAGCTGCAAGGACGATGCCTTCCACAAGGTAGCGCCACATACATGTTGTCATCATCCGCAATGACCGTAGTGGGCTCGGTTTTCACGGCCAGTCCCACCACATCTATTTCAAAACTGACTGAATCTGAGCGGAGCTGCACCATGGAGGCGCACACAGCCACCGAAACACCAGCAGAGGCCCTGCAACAGCCCCTCGCCGGCCCTCTACGCGCCACCATCCGACTAACCACACCGGCGACGGAACTGGGCGTGGATCAGATCCACGGCTCACAATCACCGACCATATCCAGAACGGCTGCCGGAGATCGCTCCACCGCATTGTCGTCGTCCATGGAGAAGATGGTCTCCGCCGCCTGGCAGGGACGCCGCCCCAACTGCCATACGCGTGCATCTCCAGGGGCACCGCCCGGCCGCACCCAA